TCAAATTCGTCGACAGTGGGATTTGAACCCCAAACCTCTTGCATGGCGGTCTGGCAACCTAACCACTACACTAAGATCGCCAGACCACTATACAGATTTCTTACTTATATCTAATACAAATTTATTTATATAATATTACTATCATACTTTTAATATTTGATTAACTTAGTATAATACTATTTTTTATAGAGTTTAATATATCTTCTAGTATTTTCTTTTCAGAATGAGTAGAGTTTTCTGTAAGCTGAATACATAGATCTAAAAAATTATTCAAATTCATTAATAATGATATTTGAACTTCAGATCTATTATATAATAGTTTGGCAATTTAACTACTATACTAAGATTATCAGATCTATAAAAATATTTTTTAAATTTAATAACTATGAAAAAAATTTATACTTTTTTTTTTACCTATTAAGTTTTCTTAAGAAAAAAAGCTAGTTATTTATAGCTTTTATTATTACTTCTTTTATTATTATTATTTTTTTTTTTATTATTAAGGTGACTTCCTTAGCCAATTAGATTTTATTAGTTTGTTATTACAGAACTATCACATAAATAGTTTCCTAAGGTTTTACAGTTACATGATGAGTATACAACAAGCTATAGATACAACTTTAGTCATTATCTAATTTAAGTAGTCTGCCATACAGATGATTGACTATCTGTTGGTTCTACACTATGCTGCTATATCTGCAACCTACCTATAAGTTATCTATTTAAATACTCTGATCATTAACTCTTCCTCTCATCCCAAACTAACATTACTACTATAACCGACCACTTAAGCTAGCTAGTTCACCTATGGATCTATTCTCTGTACAGCTTAAGTCCTCTTGAGATATATATATCTAATGTATTGTGAGCCACAGAGCTTCAGTTAACCTCAGAAGTATACCTACTAGAGTGGTCTATATCTATTTTACAGATTTACCTAGCTTAGACTCTTATAGATATTCATGCAACCCTAGTTCCTACTGTGGCTCTCTACCAGTTTTCTGTATCTATCTTCTCATATAGTTCACAAGGCAGATCCTTCTAATCTAGTTAGCTACTAAGCCAAGTTGATATTACTGATCCTCCCTATAGAATGAATTTATGTACACTCGACTTGATCTGCATCTTTTGACGATAGTTTCTTTTTTGAATCAAGCGTTAGCTAATGTGACTGTTGAAAGCTATACTACTTCACCAACTCAGGATTTCTATTATGCAGGTCCTCTGTTCATAGATTCTATCAAGATTTATTCATATAACGTTATGTACTTTGTTATATATCCAATATTCAGATGATATTGGTGCAATGTGATTTACAGGGTTACTACTCCAAAAACGAACAAGGTTTACCGTAAGTTGAATACAAAGATCTGAGTAATTATTCAAATTCATCGACAGTGGGATTTGAATTCCAAACCTCTTGCATGGTGGTCTGACAATCTAACTACTACACTAAGATCACCAGACCCTTTCTCTTATTATTTTTTTTATCTTTACTATTATTATTACTATTACTTTTATTGATTTTTTCAAATTCTTTACTCTTATTTATTACTTTATTTTTTTTAATTATACAAAATTACAAAAAAAATTTATACTTGTAGTTACTAGGTCTAAAGTTTTATATAAATATTTAATTTTTTTTTAATTACTATAATTTATTAAAATTTGTATTAATTTGTATTAAAATTTTTTTTTAATAAAAATTTTTTTATTAAATTTTACATTTTGTTTTAATTCTAATACGTACGTATAAGTTTTAGTTTTAATTTTAAAATAGTATAAGTTTAATATTAATTTTTTTTTTAAAAATTAATTTATTTATATAAAAAATTTTATAATAATAAGATAGTTGATTAAATTAGTTATATAGTAGTAATAACAAAGTATTAATTCAACGTATTAAATTAGTTTTATTTTATAAAATTTTAGTTATACGTAATTGAATATAAATATTTAATATACCAAATATAAAATTAAACTATTTATATAAATTTTTTAAATTGTTATATAAATCTAAATTATATAATAAATGTTGTACTAATTAAAATATAAACAAGTTAAAAATTTTTGTACTATATTATTATTATTTATATTACATTTATAGACAAGTAGAGGGGACAAAAAAGTACATATGTACGTACAAATACGTAGTTCGTTTCGGTTTGATTATGCGTGTAATATTTGTAATATAAACAAGCAGCTAAAGAAATAAGAATTTAAATGAGAAAATGGACATCACTCGGGATTCGAAATTCTGTGCAAATTGTGATTATCAGAGTAACAGGCCAATACTTAGATACAGGAATGCAGGAGTAGTGTCCAAGGGTGCACTTGTAGAAAAATGATAGAGTCGCTTGATAAACAAGAGTGAGGTTGGTATATTATTGTTTATTATGATGATCAACTTCGCCATCCCTTTGTAAGAATAACCAATAAATTATTTTTTGATACAGCTTATCAAATTTCACAGGAATCACTACCATTAAAGATTAATCAGGTAACGAGTTTTAATAACCAATTTGTGTTTAGTCGTTCTTTTCTTTTTTTTTCCTCATAATCTAAGGCACGCATATACACACAACCACAACACTTAAGGCGTGGACATCTGCTCATTATTAATAATTGATTTTGGGGTTTGCAGTCTTACAATCCAAATCACATCTTGATTTCACCATAGAAATTGACCTTTTTATAATTTTTGTTTTTGCAACTATCGTATGTACAGTTTATTATTAGCTGTTCTTGGTCAAGTTTTGCCGGATTTATGCATCTATTTATTTATTTATTGTTACCTCTGGCTCAGTTCGGCAAAGATTTTAGAGAAATTGGGCAATTTTAGCTTGAGGCGGTGTCGCATTTCATTCACTAATTTTCTGCGTCCCTGCACCTCATCCCCATTCTCATGGTTCAGCTACACCAATGTAAACATCATCAAAAAAATATAAATTAATGGTGTTGGAAAGGAAAACGGACAAAGAAGGAAGTAGAAAACGAGGAATCATTCCGTCCACAATTTTACCTATTTTTTTTTTTTTTTTTTTTTTTTTTTTGGAAAAATTTGGTGATATATATATATATATACCAATTATAAATACACACATTTAATTCTTATTTCACCCATTTTTTTTTTTTTTTTTCTTTTTCTTTTTTTTCTTCTTCCTTCTCTTTTTTTTTTTTTTTTTTCTTTTCTCACCAAAAATTTAATACAATTTTGAATGTCTCTTGTAGATTGTCTTGCAGACTAAAATAATAATCTTTTAATATAAAAACAAAAATCATAACAATCAATATATATTATAAAGTATCAAAATCCTTGTTAGCCGAGACGGATGAACCGTTTTTTCCGAATATTGAACACAATTTATCAACGGTCTGCAGGCAGCATTAAACCTGCTATTATTGGATAAACGATATAAACGATTATTGTATCATCGGCACCAATTCTATCAATTAATTATATCATATTTTCATATATCATCATCATAAAATAATATAATACAAGAGAAAAAAAAAAAAAAAGGAAGGAAAGAAAGGAAAAAAAGTGAGTTGGTGATTGATGTTGTGTTTTTTGTGTCTCGTATGGCAAATGCGAATCTATGGGATCGATCATCCCCATTTTTTTATTTTACTTTTTAACGATGAAGAGGCTTCTTTCATCAAAATTTTTCATCTTTGCTTACCAGAGTATTTTATGTTATTTGTCACTCCTTTAATTACAGCCAACTAAAAAAAAAAATTTTAGCGGAATAAAATTTCCACTTCTAAAGATATTTGTTTGTCAAACAATCAAAAAAGGGTCCATTTAGTCAATTTTCCTTATATCAGACACTGTAATTGACTGTAAAAGTAGAAAATCAACCTCGTTCTTGGAAACTGACCAATTCAACATATCCCGCGTGCAGTGTCACAGCATATCTGACGTCACTTCATATTATTTTAAGCAAGACAAAACGAGGGGGGTTTGCTACTTGTTTTAACAAACAAACAACGCGTTGACAGGCAGACTGTGGATTAGCACCGTTCGAGCAGAATACACCACTCAGCATTTTAAGCAAAAACGATTTCACCCAAAACTAACTGATAGAACCTTTCAACACAAGGTATGCAAGATGAGAATAAATGCACACACCTCCCCAACTTCTAACTGATAAAAGCCGTTCTCTTTTTTTTTCTTTTTTTTTTATTCATTCTTTTTAACACAGTAAATGGCAGATACCAGTTTTTGGGTAAATTCTTTTATTTTATTTTCTTTCTGCCTTTTTCCTTTGCTATTAAATGTAGGTTGAAACAAAACAAAAGCGAACTCAACAAAACATCTCTTCAGGTAAATCCTTTTCAGATGATGCGATTTAGTGGTAACGATGAATACAAGCAATCAGAATTTACCAATAAAGCAGGAGTAGGTGATGACGAGTGCGAGAACGGTGGTAAGTGTTTTATCCAGGTGTCTTTAGCCATAGGGTAAAGAGTATTATTTTCTTTTTCGTCGCTCTTCATCGCTTTTCATCTTCAACGTGAAAAAGAAAGTTCTTAAATTCTTTATTATTAAACTTGAAGAGCTTTTATTTATTTTATTGGGTTCGCAATTCTACGAGCCATACTTTATATATTATTCACTTTTGTTCAACCGCCTCATCTCGTTTTGCATTCGCATGCAACAAGTCCAAGCATAAATTATAAATTATTTAAATGGAATTCGTTAGTTATAACTTCATAAACGATCTCGGTCATATGTCTCATTTTCGTTATATTCTTTGTTATATCTTATTATATCTTATTAATTGATAGATTATATATATTTATGTTTATATTAGTGGGAAAATTAAACGATTACACTTATATCCAATCTAATTAATTCCTTTTTATAATTATAATAATAATTTTATAGCAGATAATCCCATCATCAATCGTACATATTCGCGACCATCAACACCCAAAAAATCCTCCCCGCCCACACCCTCAAGAACACGACGTCATTCTTTAATACCATCAGAAGAGAAGTATAATAATCTATCTTCACCACCAAAGGGTGTGACTTACACTATGCCATTAACACCCAACAAGATTGTTACCACTGCAGATGCTGCCGCTGTGCTGGCCGCTTCATTGTCACCTCATAGAGACAATTACATGAACTATGATAGTAGAAAGTTGCATTATCAATCTCATCCATACGAAAAGCCAAAAAGACAATTAAGGCGTAGCAGTAGCCTTAGCTTCAATCATTCTAATCGCCAAACATCTCCGAATCAAACATCTACTAACCCAGCTATTGATGTTGCAGAAGTGTTAGCCACAACAGTTTCTTTTGTGCGAGAGAATAATAGGAAATTAGATCGGCTTTCAGACGAGGTTAGAAGCGACGGACAAAGCAGTGAGAACGATATGGACTCAGACGACAGTATGGATTCATGGCAACCATCTAGCGGGAGTAGAAAAGAGATCGAAAATGAAATCACTAAGTTGGCTGCTCAATTGGATTCAATGAAACAAAAATATGAGGAACAAATCCGCGGTAAAAACAGATTAATAGAAGAACTCGAATATGCCTTAAAAAAAAGTGAAAAAGATGGTAGAAGGAAACGTACCGAGATTGAACGCTTAGAAAATCAGATCGAAGCTCAAAGGAGAGCAATAGATGAGTTGGTCGAACAGCAAAATTTGATCACTCAATCTCCTGATCTTGAACAATCTGAAACTTTTCAACATATTGAACGAGAATTAGAAGAAAAGAATAAAATTATTGATGAGCTTGAATCAAGGATCCAAGTCACTTCTGCACATCATGTAGCTGAATCTAGAGAGAAAGAAATGAAATTGGAGTTGATTTCAAATCAACTTTTAAAATATCAAACTCTTGAAGCTCAATGGGTTGACAAACAAAAAACTCTTGAATCCTTATCTTCACAGTTAGAAGTTCTCAAAAAAAGAGAGGTTGAACTTAATGAAAAAAACTCTCTAATTGAATCACTCAACATACGCTTAGATACTTCTCAAAAAGTTATTACTGAGTTGAGAGAAAAACATGCGCCACATGACCTACTAAGACAGCTTCGCCAAAAAGATTATATAATCGACAACCTTACTCAACGAGTTGAAGATATTGACGCTGATATGAAAGATAAGGATGATCAAATTGAGGCCCTTGCTACATGTCTGGCTGAGGAGAAAAAACAAAATGAAGATTTAGAAGAAGAACTCTCACAAATTGATCCATTAAAAAAGCGTATCGAAGAGGTTGAAGAGATTAATTATGAACATCGACAGCAACTTGAAAAAAAGGAAAAATTGCTTGCCGATCTCGAGAGTAAATACAAAGAAGCATTAAAAAACTCTTCCGATAACGTTGATAAACTCAAAGTTCAAGAACAAACTATCAACGCTCTTCGTCAAGAAGTCACTCAACTTAAGCAAGCTATGACCGTTCAAGCCTCCGAGGTACGTGATAAAGACCGATGCATCACAACTCTTCGAGATGAAACTGCTCATATGCGGTCAAATTATCAACATCTTATTAATGCACTTACTGAGAAAGACCAACGGATTACATATTTTGAGCAACAATTTGAAAACGTCAAGAATCTTCAGAATGCAGCAAAGTCCGAATCACAGGAAAAAGAAACGAAAATCAATAAAAATGAGGTTCGATTAAATGCTTTACAAAAAGTCTTAAACAATAAAATCGAGTCTTGTAGAGTTTATGAAAAAAAGATTGGTGATCTAGAAAAGGATCTTGATAGTCTAAGAAAGCAAATGGAAGAATCAAAAACATCTAGTTCCGAAAAAGAGATTAAAATCACCAAACTCGTCAAAATGAACCGTCAACTTAAAGAGGAGGTAACTGAACTTAAAGAAAAAATGGAAGCGAAGGAACAAGAATTAATTACGATTAAATCTCGTATTCCACAACCTGCTGGAAGATCTCCAGCAGGTTCTGTCAAATCATCATCCTCTTCAAAAGCTCCTAAAACCAGAGTGTCTTCCATGTACAGCGTAAGTGGAGGTGAAAGTAGCAGTGATGAAACGGCGAATGGATCTCGCATACGCAAACATGCCAGCCTTAGCGGCATTGAAAGTCCATTGTTAAAGAAAAAGACTACACTTGACTCATCAAAACGACTTCTAGACATTCCTCGTACTGCTTTAACTAGAACTAGATCCTCACCTGGAACTTCAACTTCAACTGTCAACAGTGTTCGAAGGAGTACTCTTACAACACTTCCAAAATCTAGGACGCCTACTCCAAATACTATTGATGTTCTCAAAAAGAAACGTGATGCAACCATCACACCTAAAAAAGAACCTAGTCCTATTAATCGATCTGCGGTTAACCAACGTAAACGCGATATGGTTGTCTTGAATCATATGCTGAGTGGTGTTGCACCCCATAAAAGACTCAATACGGACAGTAACGCGGCAAAGAAAAAATTGACCGGTTCAGTATCCAGCGATAGTGAACGTGATGCAAAAACTGGACCGGCGAAGAGACGGTCTAGTGATTTGGCCACAATCATGGAAAAAATTCGTAAGGGTGGTGATGATTCTAAAGCAAAAGGAACCAGTGCAAAAGTGACCAGGCCTACTATAGACACAAAAACTCCAAAATCTCCAGTAATGACAAGAACCCCTTTAACCAGACCCCTGCCGTCAAAAAAGGAATAACCAACCATCAAAATGGACTTTGAGATGATATACCTTATTCAGATATTTCATATAAAAAAAGTTGAGAAAGACCTGCTCAATTGGGTGTTGGCGGTCAAAACTTATTATGTTAGCATTATTTTTATTATTATTATTTCTTTGTTTTTTTTTTTACAAATATCTTACTTGGTTGGTATTAGTTTCAATATAAATATCCCTGGTTCATGCCCATTTTTCCGTTCTATTCCCCATTACTGTTGGTCACTTTGTTACATGGGTCTACTGGATAGACGATATATGGTCAAGAATATCCCTTTCATTATATATATGAAATATTAATCAAAATATTGTTTTTTCTCTGTTTTTATTTTCATTTTTATTTTTTTTTTGGTCAAAAAAGATGCTGTGAAGGAAACCACAAAAAAAAAAGTAAAAACATGAAAAAAACAACAAAAAAAAAAGCACAAAAAGATATTATCATAAACAACAAAAAAAACATTGTTTCGCGGGTGATATTTGTAAATAACACCGTATAAGTTTTTTTTTTTTTATATTTTTTTCTTTTTTCGTTTTGTGTTTTTTTTTATATTATATTTTTAAATGGTTTACATTCTCTTAAAATTTCCAACATCCATATTTTAAATCCATCCCATCTTTCACTTCTCGTACTTCAGTCTTTTTCAATTTTTTTTTTCTTTTTCTTTTTGGTTTCATGCAATTACAAAATTTTTTTTTTTTTTTTTGTAAATCTATATATTTACTAAAATAAAAGTGACAGAGAGGCAGAAGAGACCAGAAAAAAAATATTAAAACAAAAATGAATTTTTTTTTTTTTTTTTTTTAATGTAAATAAAATTGAACTTACAGAATCGAATATCGATATAGGAAGGTAGGTTCTTTAAGATTAAGATCTATATGTCGACGTAGAATAAATGATGTGTGCATCTCACTTTCGAAATTCCATATTTTTCGTACAGAAAATATATTATTATTATTATTTCATATACATAGCTTTAATCAAAAAATTCCTGGCTTGATAATCCGGAAAACTTCCGTATACATATATCATTATCAATACATCCGGTGCACAAACACCGCCGGAGAAAAAGCAGTGCACTGGTGCTACGTATTATATTATCGTAAATGAGTAAAATTTTATTATATTCGTTATTATTAATGGGAATTACTACGGTATTATTAGCGTTAGATCCATTGAATAGGTTAATTATGTAACACGAAATATAAGTTAAATAAATTATATTTGGCTTAGATTATTAATACTGTACTATTAAAAAATTATGTTCAGGAATAGTTTTCTTATTTTTTCTCAAATTAAAAAGAAAAAATATGTTAAATGAATTAACATCATGTTAGAGAGTTGAATATATAAAATTTATAAATTTTAAAAAAAAAAATTTTATAGTAAAAATTTTTAAAGTTAAATTTTAAAGTTTTATTACTCAAAAGTTTTCTAATAAATTTAAAAAAGTTTTTTTAATAAAGTTGATAAAACAAATATTTAAAACTATTTTTTTTTTGTTTTTTAAAATTTAGATAATCTTGTCTTTAATTTATTAAGAGAAAACATAATAATAATATTATAACATAAATATAAACTAAATAAAGCTAGTTATATAAATATCTTCTCTATTCAATTCTGAACTTATTCAGCTACCAGATAGTACTCAGATATTATTTAACTATAATAGTCAAATTTTTCTTCTAAAAGAACAGTTTGTTTAAGCAAAGTCATACTCAATTGATCAACAGAAAATTACTATATACTGTTTTATTAAGATTACCTAATTCTCTAACTTTCTTATTCTAGCTTCCTGAGCTAATAAATTTGTATTTCAACTGACTAATAAAAAAACTAATAACAAAAAAAATAAAAGAGGAAATAACAAAATATGAGAAAAATACTGTCTATATGAAAAGAAAAAAAGTACAAAAAGAAAATGAATGAAGAAAAAGAAGCCAGAAAAAAAGATAACAAGATAGAACATACTATTATAGCTTATGCTAAGGTATAAAAATAAAAATTATTTATAGTACTAACATATATACTATAAATCTTGAGTATAACTTCTTGTTAGCTATTATTCTAT